GACCCGCTCCTATCTCCCGGAGGCTCGGGCAGGGACAGGGACAGGGACAGGGGCGGCAGCCCATTCGGACCTCTTGGTAGGCAGGTGCGTGGGGTGAATGCACGGGGCCAATGGGCCACCTTGGCCGAGTCTGGGCCCGGGGATGCATACCCCGGAATAAGGCAGGGTTGATCCTGCAAAGCCCGACCTCTACCCTGCGCTTCGGTTTCTCCCCTCACCATCCTCCCCCCTCCCCACACCACCCTGACTTTGACCCAGGCTCTGGAGCGCTCTCTGGACTCTCTGTGCCCAGATCCGCAAAGCGACTGCGATGGGGACACGGGCCTGCCACCCGCAGAGTCTGGGTCAGGGTCAAGAGTCGGGAGTTGGGAGCGCGGAGCCCGCCCTTCTCCATCCAGGAAACCGAGAGGCGGAGACCCCTGGGGCCGATCGAGGCCGAGGAGGAGGAGGAGGAGGAGGAGGAGGAGGAGGAGGAGGAGGAGGAGGCTGGAGTGAAGGGCGCCAGGGGCAGCAGCCACCCCCTCGAACCGGCTGCCCTGTGCAGACGGCAGGCAGCGCCGTTCGCGTCGCGCGGTAGTTACCGGGACTTTGTGCACGGAGAGCAGGGGGCTGCAGCGACGTTGGCTCTGCCTGGGGTCCCCAGGCCCCGCGGCCGGGCCAGCCCGCACTGTCTGCAGCCCTGGGCAACCCGTGTCCGCGCGCGCGACCGGCGCTGTACGAACGGCACGGCGCAGCAAGGCCCGGCTTCTCCGCCCCTTCGCCAAGTTTCCTTCCCGCAGGGGGACAGTGCTAGGGCTGTCCCTTGTCCTCCCGCGCCCGCTACTCGAGCTGTAGCGTCCAAGACTTGTTACACGGGTTTGATTCAAAACCTGATAAATTGTCTTTAACGCTATTTGAAAAATTTTAAACGAAATTATTCAAAAGATTTTTAATCCTGGATAATTTTTGTTGAAACTCTAATTATACATCACCTTAATTACCAGCCCCAGCCCCCCAAGGATCCCTAATTGCCTCCTAATTGAATAAAACAGGGGGCTAATCTAGCCTACAGAGGCCCTGCGAGCGGGCGGCCTCCCCCTAGGGGCCCAGTGGGGGGAGCCTCCAGCTGGCCCCACCGCCAGCGCCCGGCCTCCCAACAGAAACGGCAGGACCAGGGCCCCTGCCCCGTGCTGTGCCCAGAAGGGGAACTCAGGGTTTTCGGGAGCCATGGGGGCCCGAAGGGTCGGGCAGCCCAGCCCGCACCTGCTCCACCAGCGGCCGACAGGAGGTGCAGGGTGGCCTGGCGGGTGTCCGGCGGTAGAGACCTTAGGGCACAACCCGTGCCCTTCCCCTGGGAGCCCACTCAGAGGTCACCCAACGGACAGGACTTGGCATCCGCCCCCGCCCACAGGCCTGGGCGCCCAGGCACACCCGCGGGGCCAATGGCGAAGCCAGAGCCTGCAGGCGCTCAGCGCGCTGCCGCGGGGCACCTGGCCTTGGCCGCCAGCCCTGCACCCCGCCCCTCCGCCACGGCCTCCGCGTTTTCGCCCGAAGCGGGGTGAGACGCTCGACTCCTGCCGGACATTTCCTGGTACCGCTGCCCTCCCAGGCGTCCAGACCGGAGGCTGCCGTCCTGGCTGCGGGGCGAGAAATGGTAGAAGGGGCAGACGTCTCCTGGCGGGCGGGCGGGAGAAGGGCAGGACCCCCGCAGAGCCGGAGCTGCTTTCGGCTGGGGAGAAGGAACCGCCTAGGAGCTCAGGCTCCAGCCGGGCTCCCCACACCCTGTCACACACACACCTTCCTCGTACACATCACGCTCGATCGCACACACCAGACACACAAGTCCTCCCTGGAGCAGAGGGAGCAGCCCCCCACCTGCACCCCAGGGGGAGGCGGCATCTGTCCTGAGGACACTCTCCCCAGGCCTGGAATATGTCCTGTCTAGTTGTGGGCCACGTTCCTGGTGATCAGGTCTCAGGGGCGGCTCGAATGGGGGCCGTGGCTGGACGCCGTCTCTGGGAGCACATCCTCCCCTGCACAGGGCCCCCCAGCTGTGTGATGAGAAGGTCAGGAGGGCACCTTGGCTGTGTTGACCACCCCCACCTGCCCACCTGCCTCTCAACAGTGGCTGAGACACAAAGCTTTTGTTAGGCATTTTCTTTTGAAAATGTAGGGTAGGGACAGCCCCAATTCCTCGCAGGCCCACAGTGCCCTGGCCAGCGTGAGGGGACCCGGGACCTACCTGTCTTCACTCTGCCCCCAGCCCCCTAGGCTCACACTGAGGAGGTGCTGAGCACCGCAGCAGCCTCTGCCCTTGGAAAGCTGGACTTAGGAGCCCCCAGTGTGGGCCCAAAGGTGCTGCTAGTCAGTCAGCATGCGGGCCCAGCTGGGGAGACCCCCGGGAGTGGGGTCCTAGGGAGACACAAACGAAATTACAGCCCCAGATGCGCCCTCTGGGGCAGCCCTCACACTCTGACTCAGGGGGTGACACTCACTGACAAGGTTGTCCTTCCAGGCCCCACATATGGCTTCAGGCACAGCCCAGCCCTGCACACTGGACTATAACCATGACCTACCTCTCCTTCGTCCTCCAGCCCCCTGACCCTGGCCAGGAGGTGGCTTACAGGGGTTGGTTCTCTGGGCCACCCTGGGGCTGCCCTGCTGCCTCAGACTCAGGTACTGGAGTCAGGTCCCCAGGGACGCCCACATCTGCTTAAAATATCGTCCAGTGGAATGAAATTCCTCGGCAGGTCCTGCGCTCTGTGTCAGGCAGGCAGCGTGGCCTGTGCCTGTCGGGGCCACCTTCTTGGGGAGGGCTGGGGGCAGCTGTCCCCGCTGAGAGGGGTTTCCAAGGCGTGCTCAGTGTGGGCTCAGCGGGCTCCGGGCCTGACACACTCGCTCTGCTTTGGCATTTTCTCAGCAAGGACTCCCAGGAAAGGGAGACCTGTGGTCTGCCCTACCCTCGGGTCTGGTTCTCTGGCCTCGGGCAAGGCTGCAGGACGCCGCTGCCGAGCACCCATTTAGGTCCTGAGATGAGCCAGCGGGCCGCCTTCCCCACCTGTCGGGGTGGAGCAGACAGGGAGAGAGCTGAGGGCCAGACGGCTGGCCTGCCGGGCGTGGGTCGCTCCGCTGTTTCCGGGGCTGCGCTGGGGGCGCTGAGCTGCCTCTCGCTTGCAGCGAAGGCCCAGGAGAGTGCGGCACTTTCCACCTTCTCACTCCAGCTTCAGGCCCTTCCCCAGCGACAGCCTGACCCAGGCAGCTTGCAGCCCAGCGGCGAGACTCTGAGGCAGCTGCTGTGCTTACACACACACCCAAACATGCACACCAACACCCACGCCCCGCCGCCCATGGGCACACAGGTAGCGGGCCCACAGCCCTGGCGCACCAGCCACAAAACACCGGGGCCTTGTTCGCACCAAGAGGGGCTACAGGTCACGGGAGATGGAGGAGGCCGAGGCCCCGGGCATCGGGCAGAGGAGACAGGCTGGAAAGGGGTGCCTCCAGGAGGAGCCCCACACAGCCACGGGGGACTCCACGGGCGTCCTGCAGAAGCGGGGAGCTGCTTTTCCCCGGTGCCCCGCGGCGGATGCATGGCCTCCCACCGAGGGGCCGCCGCCCGGGGGAGCCAGGCCAGCCCCTCCGAGGAAGCAGAACTTCCTCGGAAAAGTGTCGGGGAGTTTCTGGCCCACCAGGCTCACGCTTAGGGGCTCAGCCCTGGTGCGGTGAGGCGCCGCCGGGCAGGCTCAGGCCGACGAGGAGCGGGCGGAACGGCCTGGTGGTCAGTCAGGGATCCCAAGGGCGCGGGCCGGGCGCCCCTGCCGCGGGTGGGCGGGCGGCCCGCGGAGGAGGGGGCGGCGGGGACGGGCGGCGCCCGTTCCCTCCCGCTCGGCGCTCGCCGCTTCGCTGCAGCCGGGCCTCGGCCGGGCTCCGGGAGCCGCGCTCGCCTGCCCGCGGCGCCGCCGCTCCCACCTGCCCCCTTCCCGGCCACGGTCCCGGGCCCGCGGGCCCCTCGGCGGGCAGCGCGGAGGGCGCGCGGGCGGCCCCGAGACGCGGCGGCCGGTGGCGGGGCGGGCGGCGGGCGCACCGGGCCGGCGGCGAGGACCGGCCGCGGCGGGCCGGGCGCGCGGAGCCTGGGGCTCGGCCGGGGACGGAGCGAAAGAGAAAGTAAGAGCGGGGACCGCAGCCTCGCCGGGGCAGCCCCGTCCCCGCCGGGCCTCGAGGCGGCGCGGGCGACGAGGGCGGAGGGCCGAGCGCGGCCGAGCGGCGCCGGGGGCGGCGGCCGCGGCGGGCCGGCCGGCGGCCGGGTGGGGACCCTCCCGCCGGAGGGTCACGGAGGAGCGCCCGCCGCCGCGCGGGGCACCGGCCGGGAATGGACCCCGCGGCCACACTTGCCAGCCCAGGAGAGCGTCTCCATTTTGCTCCCCAAGCGGCCGAAGCTGCCCTGCCGCCGCCGGCCCTGCCCCGCGCCCGCCGAGCGGGGCGCACGCGGCCCGCGCCCCCCGCCCCCTCCCCGGCTCGGGGTCTCCCTCCTCCGCGCCCCGCCGGCGGACGCCAAAGACGGTGCTCTAGCGCCCACTATTTCAAGAGCCGGAATATGCTTTGAGCAGGACCGAGAGCCACTCCGAGAGAGAGAGAGGGAGCGAGCGAGCGAGGAGGAAAAAGTTGCTCTCCCCTCTCGTCAACTTTTCGCTAACTTTCGCTTTTCGCTCCCCCACCCCCAGCCCTCCCCCTCCGCCCCCCTCCCCGGCCCCCACCGCGCGCCTCGGGCTCCCGGGCCCGAGCGCCCGACGCGGGGGGAGGGGGCCCGCGAGGAGGGGGCCGGCGCCCTCGGGGAGCGCGCGGCCGGGCGCCCCGAGCCTCTGCGCCGAGCCCGGCCGCCCGGAGCGCAGCAGGCGGAGCGGCCCCCGGGCCGCGCGGCCGACCCGAGCGCCGGGGGCCCACGGCGCGCCGGCCGCGCCCCGACGCGCACCCCCGGCCCGGGCGCCCCGGCGGCGCGGCGCGGCCGAGCGCGGGAGACTCACTTTTGGCTAGCTTCCTCGCCCTCGCCTTGGATCGCATGGTGTCGGCTCGCGGAATCTCTCTCCTCCTCCTTGAGTCCAGAAGCAGCTACACACTATCTTCATCTCCCCAGCATTGTCAGTTTGGACACCTTCGCACATGCGCACAGAGCGCTCAATCTGACACCCCTCGCCGGGGCCAAAAAAACTTTGCAGTGTATTCATCATCCTCATCGTCGCGCCGCCGCCGCCGCCGCCGCCGCGGCGCGGGATTGGGGGGCTCTCCTTGGCCTTCCCGGTCTTCATCTCACTCACCTCTCCCCCCCCGCCCCCTCTCCCCCCTCCCCTTTTCAGCGCAGCTCGGAGCTGGCCCTTTAAGAAAACGCTCCGTGCTCGGCGTTCCCGCCCGGGGCCCGCACCCCGGACACTTTAAAAGGACCCAGGTGGCCCCGGAGGCGAGGTGACTATCCCCCCACCCTTCCCCTGCGCCGCGTCGCGCTCCGCCCCAGCCCGGCCGCAGGCGGAGTGGCGGCTGCGTTGGTCCTCGCGACTTCCCAGGATGGGGGGGGGACGCGCGACAGTTCGGACGCGGGTCTGGCTGGGTTTGCTTCGTTTTATTGCATTTTATTACTAATTAAAAAGCTTTGCGTTCGCCGTCGCCCCAGCCTGCTCTTCTCCCCGTCGCTCCCCGCGGCCCCCCACCCCGCCCGCCATCGCCCGAGGGGGTGTCCCGGCCCGCGCGCCGAACCCGGCTCCTCCGAAGCCCCCTCCGGGCCCCGCCGCCCCCCTCGGGCCTGCCTGGCTCCCGCCCCTCCCCTCCGCCCCCACCCCAGCGCTGCTACTCCGGGCTTCGCGGCTCAAAAACAACAGCTCCGCGCTCCGCCCCAGCCCCGGCGGGCGGCTGAGACTCGGACCCGCCGCCCTCGGTCCGCGCCGAGCCGGGCACCGGGGAGGCAGCGCGGGGCCGCCGTCCGAACACCGGGCGCCCCGCACCTCGTCGCCCTAGGGGCGGGCCCGCGCGCTCCTGCCTCCGCGGGCCCCAGGTGAGTACCCCGCGGCGCGAGCCCCCGAGCTGGGCCAGCTTCGGGGAAGGGGCCTCCCGCGGCCCAGGTGAGTCGCGGGCGGGAGGGCCGGCAGAGCGAGGGGCAGAGCGCGCGGGCGCGAGCCGATCCCGATCGGGCGCTTCTGCCCCGCAGCCCTCCGACGCGGAGGGGGAGGCAGGATGTCCGGGCCAGGGGCCTGGGGCCGACAGTGAGAATTCCGCGTTCGAGTGTGTCTGAGATTCGAGAACGAAATGGGAGCAGAAGCAGGCGCCGACCCGGGCCCTTCCTGGTACCGGGATCCTGCCAGGCTCCAGGGCCGGGAGCTGCCCCAGAGTCAGCCTGAGCAGGGCTGAGAGATCGAGCCTCCGGCGCGGGTCTCTGCTGCCGCGGGTGGGCTCTTGGCTCTGCCACTCCCCATTTGTTGTGCAGTGAGACCAGTAGTTCCTCGATGGAGACCTGCGTTCGGCACCGAGCCCTTGCCATCGTGGAGGTGAACCGCTGAGGGCGGAAGGCTACCGCCCAGACCCTGGGGTCCTAGCAGAGGCCCTCCGGATGGCGAGGGGTGCGTGACCTGCATGACCGATGCTACCCCAGAGGAAAGGCGCCACAGAGCGGGGCTTGGCAGGAGCCCGAGGTGGTGGTGCGTGGGCCTTCCTGCCTCCGCAGCTCATAGCTGCTGCCCTGAGTTCCAATGCCACGAGCTCCCATGGTCTCAGGGGTGCCCAGCCTTGTGCCGCGCTTGCAGCCCCAGACGGAGAAGGCGCTCTCTGCGCTGCTCTGTTTCCCACTGAACTGAACGCAGCCTCCGGCCCTGGGTGAGTGTTGACCGGGGCGGCAGCACCCGCAGGGGCTCTGGTATGGAGAACGGGGGCAGCTCAGTCCCCTTGCCTGCAGCGCTTCCGAGGGCCTGTCGCCCCGGCCCCACGCTCTGTCCCCATGGGCTGGGCGGAGAACTGTGGGGTCCAGAGGGGCCTTGCTGCCAGGCTCTGGGGGTTTAGGTGGGCAGTCCCCACGGGGAGTCAGGGCCTTGCTGCAGCCTCTAGCAGGCTCAGAACCCACTTAGTCCCAAGGTTGGGGTGGGGGGGTCGCTGGGAGAGGAAGGAAGGGACCTGGAGTTCAGAGCTGGGAGCTGTTCTGCTTAACCCAGCCAGGGCAGGCTCCGGCCCACGGACCTAACCTGGCTGGCGCCACTGGCCAGAGAGAACACAAGGTCACTCTCATACCTCAGCACTCCGGGACCCCCTTGCCCAGAGCCTCCTAGCAAGGTTGGGTAGGAGGCCTGGGGAGAATACAGTGGTGCCTGCAAAACACTCCCAACTGCACAGAAGGTCCTTCCCCTTTCCCCACCCCCCACCCCCCACCCCCCACTCCCCACCCCCCACCCCCCACTCCCCACCCCCCACTCCCCACCCCCCACTCCCCACCCAGCTCAGGCTTCCTTTTCCCCTGGCCTGGAGGCAGCCCGTAGGCTCCAAGGTTAGGAAGGCCCAGTCTTCTTCTGGGGGCACCCCAGCTCACTCTGGCCTTCTGCCTCAGCTGAGAAGGTGATTAAAATCTTCTGAACCCTGGCCAGGCTGGGCCAAGACACTCTCTGGACTCTGGGACTGCACCCTTTCCAGGGCCTGAGGAAGGAGGGTGGGAGGCTGCACGTTTCTTCCCGGCCCTATGCTAGGCACCCCCGGGGTGGGGCTGGGGGCTGCCTGGGGAGAAAGACCAGGAGACAGCCTAGCTGCTGACACCCCCAGGTGCTGCAGCAGCTTTGGCAGACCCCTCGCTCCCATCAGCTCCAATCAGTTCCAGGAGCCTGGGCAGACTGTCCCCAAGGCCATGGCCCTGGTCTGGCCAGGCCCTGCCCCCGCGTGGCCGGATTTAGAACCAAGAACAGGTCAGGCTTTGTAGAGTCCTGCAGAGAGAAGGACGAAGAAGGGGGAATCCGATGTGGGTCCCGATCCTAGCCCAACCTTGCAGACATTTGGGGACGGGTATGTGGGGGAACAGTTATGGGTAGGTGGGGGCCAAACAGGAAGAGAGGAGCAGTTTTCATTTTGTCGATAGTGAAAGGTTGGAGGGCAGTTTTCAAACCAAGCCAAGCTTCGGGGAGTCTTGTGGCCGATGCTGGGCTTAGGGGACCGGCACTGGGATGCAGAAGTGTTGCTCCTAACCTTGGCTTCCTACAGTGGGCTGTATGGTGGATGGTGAGACGTGGGCTGCCTGAACACCTCCTTAGGCTACTGTGTTTTGGAACAGACTTTGTTGCTGGGGTCCAGGGTACTGGAGAGAGGACTTTTTCTGCCAACCTTTGCCACAGCCTGGAGTCCCACTTCAGCCAGGAGCTCTGCCTGCCACAGCCTTTCCAGCAAGCAGGGAGGTGCAGCAGGAGACCCAGGATCACTTGAACTCTTTGGGAAAGGGCCCGGTTTGGGAGGGTGAGCAAGCTGCTCCTCGGTGCTATTAGTAAGCATCATAGTGGGCAGGCAGGAAGGGGGTCCCCAACTCCAGGACGCCCTGAGAAGCCCATGAGGAACAAAACCAGCTGGATCCTACTGTGCACTCCCAGAGTTTACTGTCTTGGACTAGAGGGTCACTTTGCTTGGCTTGAACTTGTGCCCCATGCCAACTCGTGAGGCCTGGCCTCTGAAGAGGTCTGCACTGTGGTGTGTGTGTGCCCAGAGGTGCAGGGTTCTAGTCAGCCCAGCCACCTGTCCAGGCTCTCGGGCCCCCGGGATGCACTGACCTGACCAGATTCTCACTACTTCCCCCCCCCGCCCCCGTTCCTATCTGTGCCCCTGAAACTTGGCCATGGGCTTTCAGGCACTCAGACTGTGGGCTCAATTGGATTCCAGGTCAGGTTTTGTTCACCCTCCAGTTCCTGCTCAGAAAAACTCTGAGTAGCTAAAAGAATAAAAGCACATCTCCCTTAGTTTACATATGGGCTCTCCTCGGAGATCTAAAACTGCCCTGAAAGGGTCCAGACCACCAGTCCTTGCCTCACCCCCATCACAGGAGCATTGAATTGGGCTGAGATGGGGGTGTCCATCTCTGGGCACCTTCTCCTGCCTTACGTTAGGTGGAAATGTCTCCCAGATTTGAGCAACAGAAGGCTTGGAGACCACCAGGGATGTTTGGGGACAATCTGGTTTGGTTCCCACTACACAGAGAAAACGGAGGTGGTCTTGGCACCCAGCAGGGGACTCAGTGGGGACTGAATGCAGAGGTCTTCCAGCCCTGGGGCCAATAGCTAGCTGGAGTGTTGGGTCTAGAATGGGGGTGGGGTGGAGCACAGACAGCCTTCAGGGCATTTGCCTTCCCCAGGGGGGCTTCCACACTGTTCCAGAGTGGGCACTTCCCAAGGGGCCGCCCAAGACTCTGGGGGTAATAGTCCAGGCCCTCTTTGGCCCTTCTTCCCACCCCGAGCCCAGGGAAACTGGCAGACCCACCGAGCCCAGAGGCTGCTGTTTTCTCCCTGTGCTGCTCACGGCGCAGGTCCCCCAGTGCCCACAGCCAGTCCCTGCTCTGGAGTGGGCCCTGAGAGTGTTGGGCACTCTCAACCAAGACTTCCCAGGAATGTGAACCATGCAGTCGATTTTGAGCAAACCCCAGATGTTTGGAAACCTACTGCCTTCACAGGCAGGAGGACTTGGTCCCTTGCAGATGGGCAGCCTCCTGGGAGGGTCCCCAAGAGACTTCTCTGCCCTCATCTGCAACCCGGGGTCCTGGCCGGGGAGCACGGATGCATGCCTGTCTGCACCTGGGGTGGGCCACGTGCATTTGGGGGAGGTAATCAGGAATCTTTTTGTTTGTTTTGTTTTTAATTTAAGAGATGGAAGCTGTGGGCCTGAACTCCCCATTTGAATTCCCTGGGAGGGAGTTGGCTGCAGGATCCCGGGCCCAAACCGCCTCTCCAGGAAGTGCAGGAAGCCCCCAAATACTGCTTCCCCGGGGCGCGCGCAGTGGGCCGGGACGAAGCGGCGGCTCGGCGGCCCGGCTCCTGCCCTGCGCGGGGCTCCGGCTACTGCTGCGGGAGTAGCGAACCGCGTCGGTTTCCCACGCTTTCTCTCTACCCCAGACCTTTAAAAATCCGCCAACGAACGCCATTGCCGGTTCGCG